CCTTGAGGAATCGCCACACTGTCTTCCAAAATGGTTGAACTAATTTACACTCCCACCAACAGTGTAAAAGTGTTCCTATTTCTCCACATCCTCTCCAGCATCTGTTGTCTCCAGATTTTTTAATGATCGCCATTCTAACTGGCATGAGATGGTATCTCAATGTTGTTTTGATTTGCATTTCTCTAATGACCAGTGATGATGAGCATTTTTTTCATATGTTTCTTGGCTTCATATATGTCTCCTTTTGAAAAGCGTTCATATCCTTTGCCTACTTTTGAATGGGTTTATTTGTTTGTTTCTTGTAAATCTGTTAGTTCTTTGTAGATTTTGGATATAAGTCCTTTGTCGGATGGGTAGATTGCAAAATTTTTTTCCCATTCTGTTGGTTGCCAGTTCACTCTAATGATTGTTTCTTTTGCTGTGCAGAAGCTCTGGAGTTTAATTAAATCTCATTTGTCTATTTTGGCTTTTGTTGCCAATGCTTTTGGTGTTTTAGTCATGAAATCCTTGCCTATGCCTATGTCCTGAATGGTTTTGCCTAGGTTTTCTTCTAAAGTTATTATGGCGTTAGGTCTTATGTTTAAGCCTTTAATCCATCTAGAGTTAATTTATTTTATTTTATTTTATTTATTTATTTTTTTTTGAGACAGAATCTCACTCTGTCGCCCAGGCTGGAGTGAAGTGATGCGATCTCGGCTCTGCCCACCTCAGCTTCCCAAAGTGCTGGGATTACAGGCGTGAGCCACCCACCATGCCAGGCCCTTTCTCCTTTTTATAAAAATTGTGGTAAAATGCACATAGCATAAAATTTATCATCACAACCATTTTTGAGTGAATGGTCAGTAGCAGTAAGTACATTCTTATTGTTGTGCAACCAACATCACCATTCAACTCCAGAACTCTTTCCATTTTGCGAAACTGAAACTCAGTCCCCATGAAACACTAACTCCCCATTCTTTCCATCCCCAGTCCCTGAAACCCAACTTCGTAACTTCTGTCTTTGTGAATTTGTCCACTATAAGTACCTCCTATAAGTGGACTCATATAGCATTTGTCTTTTTTGTAACTGGCTTATTTCACCTAGCATAATATCTTCAAGATTCATACATGTTGTAGCATATGTCAGAATTTCCTTCCTTTTAAAGGCTGAATGATATTCCACTGTATGTATAGACTACATTTCATTTGTCCATTCATGCATTTCTTCTTTGTTGTAGTTCATTTGAAAAATCCAGGCAATCTGCATCTGAGTATTTGGACATCAGATTGGCTTGAAGGAATAGAGGTGACAGATAAGCCATCCCTCTGTTTTCCAAGTTTGTTTCTCTGCCCTTATACTTATCTGACAGCCATGGCAGAGAACTTCATCTACAAAAGTATGAATCAAGCTTCCTATCAGGCCCGATTGTGAAAAACCCTGTTCCCTGTATGGATCTCAAAACTTTCCTTGTCAATTCTGCCACGCAATTTAGTATTTAACTGAGTTAATATGTAGCCACATGATACTAGCCATTTGCTTTTTAGACATTATGTTCAAGCATCAGATTCTGCTAAGGCTTACGGGCAGGTGGGAGAGAAGAGGAAGCCCAGACCACAGCATTCAGACTGTTGGGTCTTGCAAGACAGTGAAGGAGCATTTGCTGCTTTCATTACCCTTACTCCAGCCCATGCAGCTGTTTCAGTGACCTCCCGCCGTTCTCTCCAGATTCTCACTCCTCTCTCTCAGTGAACCCAGTAAAATGCATGTTTTAGCTTTTGTCCTTCTCTTACATTCAAAGTAGCTATTAGAAATAAATTTGACTTTTCTACACCAAGATGAATTGCCCGCAAGTTCCTAAAAACAGCTGGTTTTCTTTACCTCTGGTGAATAATGCAAGAACAGAGTCGATTTCACCAAAGTTACGGTACATTGTTCCAATGGATGATCCTCCTGTATGCTCAAACAATTCTCTTTATTAATTTTAATTTTTCATTTTTATGGGTACATCACAGGTATATGTATATTTATGGGTTACCTAAGATATTCTGAAACAGACATGCAATTCATAACAATCACATCAGGGTAAATGGGGTATTCATCACCTCAAGCATTTATCCTTGTGTTACATACAATCCAATTATACCCTTTCAGTTATTTTAAAATGTACTATTAAATTATATTTGACTATAGTTACCCTGTTGTGCTAGCAAATACTAGGTCTTATTCATTCTTTCTAACATTTTTTGTGACTATTAATCCTCCCCACTTCCTCCCGGACCCCCCCCCCAACACACACACAAACAAGATTTAAAGATTTAATCTAAATCTTTAATTCATTTTG